AATCAAAATATTAAAATTTTTCGTGTGACATAAAAAGATGCAAAAAGCCCGTTTATACCTGTGTAGATGCTGCTGTATTGTCCGCCTTATCGCTTATCTGCAGCATTGAGCCCTGATAGCAGAGTAAAGTGAGTCTCAGTCAGAAATCCGACCGCTAATCATAGAGCTGAGGGGGCGGAGCTACCGTGACCACACTCTTCTCTCATTGGTCAGACGCGAAAACGTGCGTGTTAATTTTTTTTCATCTGAAAAGGGACTTTAGTTATTTATTGTATATGCTGTAATAATTGAAAGACATGCAATGTGTGTGTGTGTGTGTGTGTGTGTGTGTGTGTGTGTAGGCCTATATGTAAACTAATGTATATACAGGCCTATATATGTATATACTGGTGGCTCAGTGATTAGCATTTTGCCTCACAAGTAAGAAGGTCGTTGGTTCGAGTCCCAGCTGGGTCAGTTGGCAGTTCTGTGTGGAGTTTGCATGTTCTCCACGTGTTGGTGTGGGTTTCCTCCGGGTGCTCCGGGTTTCCCCCACAGTCCAATCACATGCGCTATAGGGGAACTGATCAACTAAATTGGCCGTAGTGTATGAGCGTGTGTGTGTGAATGAGTGTGTATGGGTGTTTTCCAGTACTGTGAAGAGCATCCACTGTGTAAAACATATGCTGGAATAATTGGTGGTTCATTCCTCTGTGGTGACCCCTTATGAATAAAGGGACTAAGCTAAAGGAAAATGAATATGATTGAATAAATGTATAAATTTGGTTCACTGAAGCGCATATTTACTACACAATTACTGAAAATCTCCCCCAATGAACGCGATAGTCAGTGTATAATCTGCATTATGTATACTGTAGTCAGATATTGTTTATTTGTTTTGTTTTTCTTCTGTTGCTCTCAACAACCAAATGACCAGAGAAGGGTCTCGTGACCTTAAGGTTAACTTCACACCTCTCTCCAAATTTCAGGAGGTAAAATATTGACCCTCAAGCATGACCGAATGCCCAGAGAAGGGTCTCGTGAGCTTATGGTTAACTTTCTCCAAATTTCAGGAGGTAGAATATTGACTCCAGATCATCATGCTGACACTGCAATCCTCAAATTTGAGGGAGATTGGACCTGATCATCTCACTCTTCACTCTTACCCGACCTTTTGGCCAAATTTTGACTACAGGTGAGGGTTTCTTGCTGAAACATTGGAAGCTCAGCTATGGGATAAGTGCACATCGCCCGGCGTTCTCAGACACACGTGTTGTTTTTCCAATGTGCAGTGGCGGATTTAGGCAAAGGCAATATTGGCGTTCGCCTAGGGTGGCATCTTGCTGGCGGAGGCACGGGGAGACGCTGAAAAAAAAAGTGCCCCAGTAAAAACTTCGAGATGATATTAACTTTATGCAAGTGTATTAATTTAGAGGGGTTATCCCAGAATAAAGACGTTAGGGGCTATTCACATTTGGGGTCTTTTGCACATGTAAGTTTATGTGCAATTAAAACATCGCTGGTGCGAAATGACGCACACGTTGCTCCTGATCCTGTATGTTTACATGCACGCCTATATGCGTCGACATGTAAGCAGACAAAACTAAGTCATACGCCGATAATGGTACTTTGACTAAGCATGCACTAAAAAAAATCAAAGATAATTCCTTGCATTTACTAAATTGTTTTAAGTGGTTGTAAACAATTTATTTATTCCCAATTTAAATAAATTAAGTTGAACATCATCAAATTTAATTTGTTTGTGTAAATTCAACCCATATAAATTGACAACTTTGCAGACATGATTTCTTTTTTCTGTGTGGCTGTGAAGTGGAAAGGAGGAATAATGAGTCAGGGAGGTAACTAAGACTTCATAACATTTATCCTCGGCCATGAGTCGGGTCTAAGACAACAGATAATTCGAAAAACAGAAATTTTTTGTGTTCTATAGAATTGTCATAATTATTAATCCTGCAAAAGTCTTAGAATATTACTCTAGGTGTGTCTTTACAGTTTTTCAGTTACTATTAGGATTGATTTCTGTTATTCATTTATTTAGAATACTAGTTGTATTACAATAATAATAATAATAATAATATTTTTTTATTTATTGCTAAATGTATTTATATTAATTATTTAAAATGTATATATTAAAAATTTATAAATTTCAATATTTAAAATATATATAAAGTCAACCACAGTGTCTTTATTTCTTGGGGGATGGGGAGGGGGGATGTTTCGGCTGGTTTCCCCCAGGGTGCAATTTAAACTAGAACCGCCACTGATGGCACGTCTCCGAGGTTGTACAGCCAGATCTCACGAGGAAACGTAAGTATTTTATGTTTTGTCAGTTCAGTGGCTAATTCGTACTAATTCGTAAGAGTTCAGTCGTACGAAAATGTATGATTTTAAAAAGGAGGCGTGGCACCCAACCCCACCTGTCATTGGGTGATGAGCAAATCGTACTAAATTGTTCGAATTAGATTGTATGAATTCAAACGAATTAGCCACTAAATCAAAAAGTTACGAATTGCCGTGAGATCGCGGTGGGTTGTATATACTTTTATACAACAGTTTCGTCTGGTTCTTGAATCTTATTGGCTGACAGCTATACGATATTTTGCCAATAACAGCACTGGACCAGCCTCTTCACCCTTGAGTATAACTCCACCCACATACCGCTACAAGCAGAGGACGGTCTACAGTTTGACCAATATTGCAGCTGTTGCACAAGGTAATGTACTTTCAAGGCTTTTTAATGGAGAATGTAGATGTTTAGATTGCAACTATGCAGTTTTTTCATTAGGATAATGCCTATTTTTAAATATTTATAACTTCTGAGAGACACTGCATCGGTGGCCATAGGCCTGCCATACTGAGCTGACCAAAATCGGTTGATGTTGTCTATCCACATGGTGGCAAGAGGACCGCATAATAAGCCCTAAGAAGATTATAACAGCCTAACTTCTAACTACAGCTGATCAAATCATTATTAAACTGGTAAGTATACCTGCCAACACTCCCGTTTTTCCGGGAAGTCTCTTATAATTCAGACCAATCTCCCGCAATTATCCCGTTTAGTTATTTCTCCTGGAAAACTCCAATAATTACACCCCTCCCCCATCCTTTTTGGTACAGTCTGTAACACCCCCGGGTCACCAACTTTGGTACAGTATCCAATCGCATCGGCCGCCCAAAACCCGGAGCACAACACAGTTACTAGCATCACAGTGCAGCTACTTTCCTATCCCGGTTCTTTCCTACTGCTCTATTCAGAGACCTCACCACCCGAAAAGAACTATCTAATCTAATATTATGTGCTGTCATCATGGCAGAAATTAAAAAAATCAGTTATTAGAAATGAGTTATTAAAACTATTGATAATACATGAGTCATTTGAGAAATCTAAAAATGTAAAATTCATAATAATAAACTGTATATTTAACATTTTGTAAACTGTATACTGCATATATTTTAAACCCAAAGAGTATCATGTGAAGGAGAGTCAGAGGAGGTTTAGATCATGAAATCAGCTTTACAAAAGTCTGAAGATTTTATTGGAAACAATGCAGAGATTCCCGCACAGTAGTGCACATCCCAGAGAATAACCCCAATAATACACACACCAGAGCACCATCAGGACCTGTCAACACCTTGGCACAAATTGAACTCGCCAATAACTAAAACCCCTAAAACTTTACTTAAATGGGGTCAAGACAGCTTTATAATCATGACATGACACACAAGACTTTATGCATGCTTATAACAGCTGTTATTAAGTGTCATTTACTCAGTAATGATATCTTAAATACAAAGATGACATTGTTTATGACAGCTTGGCATAAATACGTCTTCATCTTTGTTATGACAACTTGATGTTACCAACCAAACTAGTCATAAATCCGTCATAAACATGACTGTCATGATGCATTATAATTGTAATGAGACAATAAAAGGTTATTGACATTTTAATGACAAATTCAGCGTGTGCCACTGTAGCTGAGGTCAAAAATATATTAATGACGCTGCTATAAAATTCTAGACATATTTATTATGCCTCATGACTATTATGTTTATGTCAGATTTATGATGAGTTTTGAAGTATGATGTTGTATTTTGATGTTGTGTTTTACACGTGCTGCTGCTGATGCCACAATAAAAATGATTTGATTTAATTTTGTCTTGGGAATGTCACGTTGTCATGACAACAACAGAAGCAGGTTGTGATGTATTTGTTTATGTCAAGTTGTCATAACAAACAATGTCATCTTTGCATTTAAAATAAGCGAATGACACGTAATAACAGTCGTCATAAGCATGCATAAAATCTCATTCACGTTCATCTCATTCCCAGTCATATCATGATTATAAATGACACCCCTAAAAACCCTAAATGTTCCCCTAAAAACCAAACCATTAACGACAGAACGCAGTATAAGAACTCAATCAAGTGTGCGCTTCTGATTTCAGCTGTCTTTTACTGTAGATGAACTTTAAAACAGACTGCATTACACCATCTACAACACATGAGCCTCTGAGAATCTTCAAGTGTTTCTGCTTTTAACACAGATTCTGATGCAGATCAATAAAAAAAGAGAAGCTAAAAATCACTTGGTTAAGAGCTGCTTAGAGGAAGTGATGTCACAGAGAAAGATGCTGGATCATCCAGAGAGCGCCGTTCATGAACCCGTCTGATTCTGCGTCCACTTTGGACAGAGAGTGATTATTGCCTGGGTACCACAACACTCTGCAAACACACACACACACACACACACACACACACGGATACACCGGTAAAACACTGATCCACAACACTGATACACAGAAGAGCAGCACGATTTAGAGAGCATTACTAAAAGAATCAATTCTTTGATTCTGAGGAGTCGATTCAATTGAGTCAATTCAACAGATAGGAACGATTCCATTAACAGGCCTGATGAA